GATGACCGGTCTTCCTTGCGGTCTAGGACGAAGATTCGAGTCACAAAGCCTCTTCGAACGAAGCTCGTCGCTGCCCCTGCCCTTTTTCATTTCTTGAATATCAGAATTGCATATCACGTGATATTATCTAATAATCACGTGTTGCTTATAAGCGATTGGTTCGTATCATCTCCCGCGCCTGTGCCAACACATCGAGGATTTCTCTTGAGACAAGATATTGGAACTCATTATACTGAATGCGGGGGGTATTTGTTTATTTCTTAATATCTACAACCCAGACGAAGATTTTTGCCTCCACCTTAAATTCTCAAACTTAGAATATTTGAGATCCTCCAGCAGAACCACGAACCAGCGAAGGCATTTTCTGATCTGGGGTAAAATATATCGGGATTTAAAAAAGGGGGATAAGTATCTCGATGGGTGCCCCAAAAAGAAAGCTGCTCGCAACGGCGGAGGAGACACTCTCTCCTCCCGATACTTTGGAAAAACAGCAGCAGATTGCACGAGTGGTCAAGGCAACAGGAAACAACATCTACTCGGTAGAGCTACCCTCAAAGGACGCCGTCTTGGTAGAGCTTCCCGCTAAATTCCGGTCCACGATCTGGATCAAGCGAGGATCATACGTTGTCGTCGATCTGGATGCTCTCGAATACAGGGATAACAAGTTAAATGGGGAAATCATAAACGTGGTTAGGGACGAGAAAGCATGGCGGAAAGCAGTTTATTGGTGAGTTTCGTGGAGAGTGATATCTGTTCTCGGGGATATCACTAACTTTTTGTAGGCCGAAAGAGTTCCCCAAACAGTCACTAGCAAATAGTGACGATGAAGAGTCGACGGTGGGGAAGTTACCGCCCTCAGACGACTCCGATGCCTAGTTGACGGGCCAGATGTCCGGGTTCTTAACCTCGTTTGGAATTGGTTTGCCGACACCGTCGCCCGGAACCCTCATTGCCCGCTCCCCGCAACCCGAAGTTGTCATCCGACTGACTTCAGCGTCCTAAATTCCTTTTGACTCTTTGCGGTTACTGTTGGAAGTGTCGCACCACACCACCGTCTTCCCGTTGTCATTAGACAAAATCTAAAACGATCACCTCCTCTTAATTCTTTGAATATTTCCTTCTGAGATCTCATTTTTGCTCCACAACCCCCCAAGAACCTGGATTGCCAGCGAAGCAACCACGACCATCGAGCTCACATCCGTACTTGGATACACATTCCACGCCCATTCCTGTGTCGCCCACACCACATACACCAAGACAGGATGCATTCCCGATCTCCAGAGCAGGAAAGGAGAAGCCCATGAGAGATATGCAAAGAACTGATAATGCAAGCTCCTCGCACATAAGAGACCGATGGCGAGGGAAGTCAACATGGTGTTGAGGACGAAGGAGTTTGTCATTTTCGCCTTCGGTTGTGTTCCTTTCAGTGTGTTTTGAACGAAATCCAATAGGTTTTGTCCAGACGGTTGTGTCCAGCGGAAGGCAAGGAATATTCCAAGGAGGGTCACATGCGTGACAAGGAGTGAAAGTGAGAACTCTCTAGATAGAAACTTATCTTCACCGACAAATCTCCAGTTTACTGTCCATTTGAATAAGAATTGCCGTGTAAACTCAAACGCTCTCGAAGCATACCCAGTGGGGTTTGCCTGAAGGAAGGGCAGGGCCAGCAGGACCTAGGTGAACGCATCCCGTCAATATTCCAAAGGAACATCGGTATACGTACCGTAAATAGATTCAGAACATACCTGTACTAGTATAGCAACACCACCAACCCAAACCCCTTGGAAAACACCCGCGCCCAGTAGAACAATAATCCCAATCGCCGGAGCTGCAAGCAGTAGCGTCATTTTGATACCCACGCCCGCACTCCAGAGCGCAGATGCAGTAACCCATTGCCTCCTTTGAAGCAGCAGTATAGTCAGCCAAAGCGCCGTAGCCGCAATCCCATCATTGAACAGCCGAAGCATAAACACGCTATGCAACCTCTTCGACAGGACGAGCAATGGAAAGATATACGGTGGCACCCCAGCCCGACGGTAACATGCTATTACGATAACCAGGGTGAATAGGTATAGGAATGCGAATAGGATCTGAGCGAACGCGATGTCGCGGCCTTCGTCTGTGAGGTGGTGGAGGAGGGAGTAGAGGTAGACATGGCCGGCTGGGTAGACGAGGGGTCCAGTAGAGCCTTTGAGGAGGGTATAGTCGCGTTCACCGGATAGGTAGAGGGAGACTTGTTGCATGTACGTAGTCCAGTCAATCTCCGTGTCTGCTTGTATTGAATTGAGCGCAACCGTTAGTAAAGCTGTCACTGTCACGCAGATGACCGGGGAAATGAGGTACAAACATGGGATTTTCCAGATGATTAGGGCGCATAGGAAGCTGTCTCCGATGAGAAGCAGTGGCGAGATCCATTTTAAGTGCTTGGTGTTTGTACAAAGGTCTAAGACCCGGTTGTAGACCTCCATCTTGTTGATGTGTCCACAGTTTGGGGTTGAAGCTCCAAGCTCGAGGTCAGAAAAGCAAATCCGACGATCCAGGAACGGAGCTCCATCAACACCCATGGAACCACCACTGGAATGATACACTTAATTGATGTATATTTGACGAATGCTCTCAATATTATTTCTATTGTATTCTATTAGACAAGAGAAAAACTACATAGGGTGAAAATAATAGTAAATCGGTGGATTAGGTAGGTATATTAATGAACATTTGCTGAGAGTGGATGGAACCTTCGAACTTGGAGTCCCAGCAGGGACATGAAAGCTATCAGAGCAGACAGTTACCACAGGAAGCTTTAGAATACTTCAGAGTCGAGCTAAAGATGATTGGGGGCGCCTTGTCCGCCGCTGTTTACGGATACGTGTTCTTTGGGCCTTTCGTTATAATCGGGGGTTCACCATGCCATCTCGGACACCGTGCTTGACCGGCATTCAAGGCCCGAGGGGCACTTAATAACGGCCCAAAAAGTAGAGATCCCCTTTGTGATAGTTGGAAGTAGCCTCAGGTCGATGTCCATGGCGCCGTGTACTCGGTGTGTATAGGACAGGGGCTCCGAGGATATCGGGATGCGCTCCGGAGGAATGCGCTCCGCAAAGAGAGACTCGAATTAGCATTTCCCAGTGAGTCTGGCAGTGTGAATATTTTCTTGCCACGAGGTCGACGCGGCGGTGTCTGCGAGAGCGAGTTGGTTTACTAGGAGGTTATTTTCCATGGTTATTTTCCATCATTCATTGGTACGATCTTGGGTGTGGCAGGCATTTCGCGTATCGACCTCGCACTGCTCTCGACAGCAGATGCGGGGGGATTGGATTCGAGCTCTGCAATAAACGTCCCTGGAGCATAAGCAGGAGGCATAGTAGAGTACATCGTGCTTCGATTCGTGCTATTGTCCTCAAACTCATGTAAATTGGCTTGCTTCAAGCCGTCCAACTCCGAGGGTGCGTGTAATGATCCCGAGACGGCCCCCTCCGGTAAAGGATCAATGACAAGCTTGAAAAACTTCTCCGTTTTCTTCTTTTTCTTCTTCTTGTCGCCGGATTCATCCTGTGTCTTTGCTTCTTGTGTGTCATCGTCGGGATCCTCCTTGCCATTTTTAGGATACGGCATTTCCAAGCGCACTTTGCATCCTTTCTTCGCAAAGACAGATTCGTTCCAAAACTTCATAATGCCTTCTAACTCGCCGTCCTCCTCTAAGCCTTCCCGTACCTTCCTTGCTATAGCCTTGTTGTACACAGCTTTGCCAGCATAGTAACCGGGAGGAGCGCCGAAAATAAGCAGAAACGTCCCGGTCGTCAAACCAACCGTAACCCCCGTACCCCAAACAGCCAATTGGCCTAATGTGGAGAGGGTGGTGACCCGAGTCACATCATCGGTAAACCGAGACCATTCGTCAGGGGAAACGCCGAAATTGAAGAGTTGGCGGTGATATGGAAACCCAGAAGATAGTTGGAACTTCCTGGTTGGTACTTCGAAGGAAGCATTTCGGGTTGAGGTGACTGAGTTATGTGATTCGGAATTGATTGGAGTCTGGCCTTGGATTATTCTCAGTATTTGCCCTGGATTGCGCAGAGTATCGGACGTGGGCTCACCTGTAACCTCAGAACCTCCGTGTTCACTAATGATGTCCGGATCATCCACGCTCCCCGTCCCTAGCTCACTTATTTCCCTCTCCGACTTAATCGAGGGTGGTGCTACGGAACCATTTTCCGCATCATTCGAGCTTCGAACTCCTGGGTCGCCCTTATGAGAATCCGTCTCAGACGGATTGCTTTCGGCGGTGTCTATTTTCTTCTGCCTTCTCAACAACTGCTTCATATCGGCAGCTGAGAAGTTCCTCGACGGAGTATTACGAAGCTTCATAGTGCTGTCCTTGGGGATCAGATTATGCTCAACTTTGGCTGGAGTGGACCGAAATAAGAGAATTCGAAGAATTCATTTGCGCGGTAGGGGGAATGGTGAGATATTTAATTGCTCCAATACGCGGGAAAGCATGGGGCCTGATCTCAGCGTCAGGGAGGAGGTCGATCCATCTATCTGGTTACGACGCTGACGCGAGCGGCGTCATCTTCACCATGGGAGGACATCGGGAAATACGATACGATGTACGGGGAAACGATGTATTCTCGTCGACGTAAGCAGGGGCCCGTATACGGCCGAAATGCGATATTCGCATATGAAGTTGCGAAACTTACGGCCCCCACTGGCGGTGTGTTTAACCGCATGAAGCTTGAAGAATGTGCTTCATTTTGGGGCCGAAGCTCACGAGTTTCGAGAAGGACTGCCTCATTTGACAACGGGCACTGTTTGCGCTCGCAAACTTGAAGTTGGACCAACGATTTTTAGCTGTAATCTGCTTGCCAAACAGTGTGCGACATATATGGAAAATTAAATCCTCATCGAAGGCGCCTACAAAGGAGGAGTGACCACCAATTTAACTGTTGGACTAGTTTGAAGCATAAGTATTAAAAAGTTTAGATATATAACATCACAAGACATCCGGTGTGGTGTATCGGTAACATCGGTCGCTCTCACCGACCAGCGCGGGGTTCGATTCCCCGCACCGGAGTATCTTTTTTTTAATTTTTTTTTAATTCGCTTAGTAAGGAGAAACAAGTACTTCACAGTTCTTTACTTTTTAGTTGATGAGACAAATATTAAGTGAGAATCAAACGAAGCGCAATCATGCAAGAAGATAAGAATCTATTCGGTACTTCTTTTATTCGGAGAGATTACAAGATTACCAGGCTAGAATTTCAAGCTGAAGAAAAAGAGGCAAAGGGAACCGAACAACTACAATACTAATTTCGAAGCCAAACAACCTCCCATCCTGCAGGTCAACTCGTCGCTCTCGGTGTTTTCGTGTTCGTATTATTTTGACAACGGCGATTGGACGACCTCATAAGGCTGACGAGGAATGAATGGAAAAGGGGATGTTATGATTCACCTCGACACGCAAACACAACTCAGGCAAGGTGGAGAGCCAATGAGCTCAGATTAAATTGTAACATCAGAAGGAGCGGAAGAGAAATTTCAAAATATAAAAATTCATCCTTACAATCACATCGCCGATCGGCGAGCCGAGGCGGACGGTTACCACAGCAAGGGGGAGCAACGAGAGAATGTATTCAACCCATGCCGGCACTGCCACGATGCTTCAGACACCCCAGTCTCATGGCCGAAGCTTCTTTACTTTGACAAGAATAAGAAAATTCGGGACGACGTTCTTTGAGACCCTTGCTACCCAAGTGCATGCGCATGTTGTTGGTATCATGGGCAGTAAACTCCAATTTTCATTTCCACAAATAATACAAATGCCGAGGGCGTATATATACCTATAAAAACATGAGATAGGGGCAGATATATGTTATCTAGTGAGACAGGTTGTATGAACAGTAAGAAATTGAGGGTGTCGTCAAATTCGTGCGGTCAATGTCACCGATCGGGTTCTCGCCCTGGAATATCCGTGCGGAGGACACGACTGCTCCCTCGACCCTCCTCAAAACCAAGTATCTGTCCAACAATGCCTCGTGGTTTAGGAACTGGACATTCTCTTCCAGTCTTCTCCAAAGCCTTCGCTTCGTTCTCCATCTTCCGGAACGTCGCTAGATCCTCATCTGCTTGAGAGGACGCGGGTGTAGGTGTTTCGGGTTCTATTGATTGTATTTGCTCAGGTGCTTCAGCAGCCTTCCTTCTTCGCTTCCGTATCCTACGCTCTTGTTGTCCGTCTGCTGTTATTATTGTTTCGGAATCGGCGAGTGTACGTCGGGGAGCGGGACAGGGGAAGATATGAGGCATGCCGACGATGAAGAAAGACGCGAGGAGGGTGGCGCCAAAGAGAGTCGTTGTCGACCTCGAGCGGGGGTGAAGGTGAGGAGGCATCGTAGCGGAGTAGGAAGAGGATTATTGGGGTTGGAAGGAAGCTGGTAATGGCTTCTGGTGAGGATCGGACGTCATTGATGGGTTGGATGTCCGATAGTGGCCCTAAACTTGAGAAAACGGGTTAGGATGGAGCCATTGGGGAGTTTAGACGGGCGATAGAGTACCTTTCCAAGATTAGGGAGTCATTTCAATAGTTGCAATGAGTGTAGACAGGCCCAATGGCACGATTGACATCGACACAACCTGTTGATTCCTTTTTTTGATCTTTCTGTCTTTCGATGTTGAAAGCATGGATGGACATCACGTGAACAGGAAAGACGACTTCTGATCTAATCTTATCTCTATCGACTATCATTGGCTAATGCGCTGATCAACCATTATCCCCACGCATTTTCTCCTTGAAGCGCGTTTCTCTCGCATCTCACCAACTAAACGCAACCCATATTAGCACGCCCAGTTTCCTCCTGATAACGACTTTTAAGCTTACCTGTAGACAATGATCCGTTGCTTATAGCTCCAGGTACAATAAAAGATTTGACCAGCTTTGCTACGCCGAAAGTTATAACCACAGCTTGCATCACTCAGCACTGGACGAATTTCCGTATCCGCAGCTAGCAAGGTGGGAGGACTCTGAAGAACAAGGCGCATAGCATCCTCGTGGAAGCCAGAATGAGTGATTTAGACAGGTGAATACACCACCTATCCTCATCCGTGCGCTACCAGCAATGGTCGATCAATTCCCGCTAATATATATACCTCGATCTCATATATAGGGCCATCGCACAGCTTCGCGCCTGCCGGCCGATCCCAGAAGCCCAAGTACGAGAGCTCTGCTACAAAGCGCGAGAACTCCTAATCGAAGAAGGAAATGTGGTATCCGTGGACGCGCCCGTCACTATCTGCGGTGACATCCACGGGCAGTTCCACGACCTGATGGAACTCTTCCGAGTCGGCGGTGACGTCCCAGACACAAACTATCTCTTCATGGGCGATTTCGTCGACCGCGGCTTCTACTCCCTCGAATCATTCCTCCTCCTTCTCTGTCTAAAAGTCCGATACCCGGATCGCATCACGCTCATCCGCGGGAACCACGAGTCAAGACAGATCACGACGGTATACGGGTTCTACGACGAATGTATACGGAAATACGGAAGCGCCAACGTATGGCGATACTGCTGCGAAGTGTTCGATTACCTAGCACTAGGCGCCCTCGTTCTAGGCGCCAGCTCCCGACTCGACCCAACCCCCTCAACCATGCCCGAAGCAACCCAAACCACAACAATAGGTGACGAGGAGTTCGAGACCGAGGTGCTAAACTCGAAAGGCGAGGTCCAATACACAACCGCGAGACGGAAACGATCATCTTCAGATGCCTCAAGCGACACGAGGGATATATCCCCACCGCGCGACATCTCCTCAGCGCCAGGAGACATGAAAACACCCTCGAGAACAGGCCCGGCAGGCACCGGCGCGACGTCAGATAGTATGGGCAGTTTATCCAGCAGCACGGGTGCAGTCCTCTGCGTCCACGGCGGTCTCTCCCCACTAGTCGACAGCGTAGATAAAATCCGTCTCATCGATCGAAAACAGGAAGTGCCCCACGAAGGCGCAATGTGCGACCTCCTCTGGTCTGATCCCGACGAGATTGAGGGCTGGGGTCTCAGCCCCAGGGGTGCGGGCTTCCTTTTCGGCGCGGATATCGTGAAGCATTTCAATTACAAGAACGATTTATCCCTCATTGCACGAGCCCACCAGCTCGTCATGGAAGGGTTCAGAGAGATGTTCGACGGGGGGATCGTTACGGTGTGGTCAGCGCCGAATTACTGCTACAGATGCGGGAACGTAGCTGCGATACTTGAGCTAGGAGAGGATGCGAGTAACGGCGGCACCATTGAGAGGAGTAACGGGGACTACGGGCGAAGCGCTGGTATTATCGGGAGTAGGAGGAAGAGTATAATGGGCCCTGGGCGGAGGTATAGGGTCTTCGAAGCAGCGGCACAAGATACGAGAGGGATGCCGGCTAAGAAGCCGGTTGCTGATTACTTTTTGGTATGTGTTCTTGGACTGCCCTTCGCCTTTACGGAAAAACCCATTGCTAACCATCTGCCCTTTTATCTAGTGATACCGATACCACTACTATCACCACCTTATTCCCCCCAACCTGCACTAGACTGAGATGAGCCACGACACGAATCACACAACCAACTCACCAGCTACGACTCTCCTCTTCCATTTCCGTTTTCTCTAACTTTCCAAACGTTTTTGGAGCATCGGCGTTTTTTCTTCTTTAAAAACGGGCATATTTTTATAAAAAGAAACAAAACAAAATGTAAAATATTTTCTGGAGCCAGCCTACTTACTACCCTGCTATATTCGGTGTGAATTACTTTGTTTTTTCATTTATAATGATAGTAGTTTAATGAAATGTGATGATCGGGGTTCGGAATATATATATGGGTTTGCAGTCACTAAGTTCTCGAGTCGCCCTGAGATCGCCTTATACTAGATAACCAGTATCAGCTAATTGGAGGGTATATTCCACGTTTCAGGGTATCCGTTAATGAAGAAACTAAGAATTTTATAAATATCTATATACTTCGAAGATATATATGTATGTGCAACTCAAACCTAAAAGCCTGGACAGTCCATACATGATAAGAAAGGAATCCACCCCGTCCAACAAGGAGCAGAGAGAAATGAGATAGAGGAAAGGAAAGCAGAGGGTTAAGATAGAGAAGATGAATATGGGAATAAATTTCAACATAGATATCATCGTATGGGTAAAAGAAAAGATGCTTCCTTACCCGACTCCGAGACTCCTCCCAAGATGAGAGAGAGTTGTATTCGTCCAGATGGGCTGGCCAGAACCCCCGTATCATATCGTACCAAACGCGAAGTTTTTACCTAACTTGCGATTCCCCCATTCAAAGCGGCGTATCAAAATAATACTGATTCATTCCCCCGTGATCCAACCCAATCGGATACCCCCCCACCCCCGTAGGCGTACAATCCTCCATCTTCAACTGCATGACCGGCGTCCCGGGCCCAGTCACACTACTGTTATTAGCAGCATTACTCGTCGGCACATTAGCCATAAGCGACTGTTCCCTACTCCCAACACCACCGTCCAACGGATTAGCGGTCGAAGGGTCAGATTCAAAGTCCATATCTGGATTCCCACTCCAATCGTCGACCCAGTTGTTCATGCCGAGGGCAAGGGCGTTTTGGTCTTTTAGCCACCAGTCTTGGCTTTCGCGGACGAGGTTTCGCATGCCTCCGCCGCTGGTGTAGGATTGGGGGGTGGGAATGGAGGGAGTGACTACGCCGGTGGTTACGTCGCTGGTGAGTTGTTGCTGTTGTTGGGGCGGCATGGTGGTCATGTATTCTTGTGGGTGTGGTTGCTGCGGCTGCTGGGGTTGTTGTGGCGGTTGTGGTTGTTGAGGGGGTTGGGTCTGGTGGGTATAGAGAAGACAAGGTATCTGCTGTTGAGTACCCGAGCCCGCATTCATACGCGCGCTGCGATCACAAATACATGCTGGCGGAGAGGAGCGGGTGGTGGAGAAGGTTCTTGCGCAAGGTAGAGGTGGTGGCTCTTCAATTGGGTGAGGGGTTGCTGAAGGCATGCTAACGACGGATTGCGTGTCCATGAATTGATTAGACCCTTGCATTGGTTCAGGGGTCATGAGA